AAAAAAAAAAAAAAAAAATCACTGGCCAACGGGTTAACCGCGGCCCATGAAGGTGCAACTCGCGAAACCCGCTGGTCACACCTCCTTGACCCGTGAACCGCCCGCTCGGGTCACGGGTCGGCCTGCGGTCCCGGGTCGATGCGAGCCGATTTTTACGAGTCTAGCCGGCTCGTTCGTCTTGACACCTCTAACTTGATGGTTCGAGTATGGTGGGACACATTTTGTGATGTGATGTGATCAAAATATATCGTTCTCAATCGATATGTAAAGTGAACACTTTATATTGACAAGATTAAATTGCTCTCATTGAGATTTGTCTAAATCTTGAGAATAAGAACAATGAAGTGTTTAGTGCATATTGAATGAGACCGTGTAGATGACTCATTTTTTACCGCTAGGAATGAGATTCTACTCGATCATCGAACGAGTAATGCACTTTTAATTGTTAGTTCAAATTCTTTGAGGTATTAATAAGTGAAGTCTTAATTAGAAGAATGATCTCGGTACTTTGGAAATCGAGACGAAACAATTAGAGATCATATACTTGAAATAATGGAATCCGTTAATCATCACGATCATAATTTGCCTCCATAATTATCACTCAATTCGAGTGTCCAATTTTTATTTTTTGGTATAATAAGCCAAGATTAATAAATGTATTTTAATTGGTCAAAAGTTGACCCAATTAGAAACAATTATTGGAGTTCGGTTTTGTGAGTCCGGTTAGGTCGTCCTCTTAGCTCTAATATATGTATGAAACTTAATTTGCTTACTACAATAAAGTTCAACGGAAATAGTGCAATTATGAAACCCTAATTGAGTATTATAAATATACCATGCGTGGGCACATTTTCTCAAGATTAAGGTTAGCCACATTCTCTTATTTTCCAAAAAAGGTGGAGAACAAGAGATAAGATTTTAAGAGGAAGCTTTGGCTAGAAAGTTNAAGATTTTAAGAGGAAGCTTTGGCTAGAAAGTTGGAAGGCCATTAAAGCCCCTTCAAGGTTACAATCTTATCCTTCTGTGTGATGATTTTAATAACAAATCCAATGATCTTAAGGTGATTTAAGATCCATCATTCATTTGGATTTAATCTTCAAAGGGAAAAATAGTCTTCTTATGATGATTAAATCCAATAACCAACATTGATATCCCTTTAACACGATTTAAATAAACTTATATTGATTTGATACTTGAATGATTAGTGAGTACTATTAAAAGGGTATCATAATTTATAAAACAAAAGTAGGAAACAATTTGGATGGTAGATACTTACATTACCCTAATATCTTATACTAATTAGTTAAGAGTTTGATTTTATTATTTTATACTATTTTTTACCGCTACGCAACGGGGATCGACCTAATAGTGAGTACTATTAAAAGGGTATCATAATTTATAAAACAAAAGTAGGAAACAATTTGGATGGTAGATACTTACATTACCCTAATATCTTATACTAATTAGTTAAGAGTTTGATTTTATTATTTTATACTATTTTTTTACAATTTTCTAATATATTTCTATATGGTAATTTTCAAGTTTGAATGCATCATTGGTTGGATGCCTTCCCTAAACAAGTTGCAATAGTTGAAGAATTTTTATTTTTATTTGAAGTATTTCAATCAGATAATGCTGAATTGATTTGAGTATATATGTTTGGCTCATGTTCATAAATTATTTAGAAATATACAAGTCGTTTTTATTCATATATTTGAAAAAGAATATCCACAAATACAATCCACTTATCCACCACTAATTCTTATCACTTTCAAAACATGCTTATAATTCATTGCGAAGATAGAGTATAACTAAATTTCTCTATTTAAACAACTAGACTTATCTATTTGAACAACAAAATTCCTCCATTTTCTTAAGAGCATATTATAGAATTTGTTATTTTGTTATGGTCGTTCATATATGTAATCGAGATTATATTCACAAATTTCAAATATATTACTTGTTTTAACTCTAAAAGTCACATATTTATAAATGAAATGTTGTTTAATGCAATTAATTATGAAAGTTTAAAAGAATGTTATAAACATAGAAATCATGACAAAAATGAATGCTGTTGTAAATACTAAAATCATAACATGAAGATAAAGCTATTTAAATATTGCAACCAAGTATGCTGTATAAAATGTATATATTACATTCAAAGCATGCCATAAATATTAAAATTATGATGGAAAAAGAATGTTATTGTAGATGTAAATGTGACAATTAAATGATATTATTAAAATCAAAATCATAACAAAAAGAAAAGACAATGTTATTAAAATATAAACATTACAATCAAGAGAATGCTACAAATACAAAGATTATGTCGGTAAATGAATACTATAAAAATAAAATAAAATTAAAATAGTAACATTCAAAAAATGTTATAATAGATATATGACTTTTAGCCGATGTTTGATCTCCATTATCTAAAAACTTGTTATTTTTCCAAACTCATTTCCACCCACATATTTTTGCTACAAGATATTTTACTTGTAAATTCATAATTTTTCCTTATCTTTTAACAGCACATTCTCCAAATAAAAACTACTATTACAAAATACATTTTTTGTGAAAAATGGAGCTCAAACAACTACTTAATAATACAGGCTCCAATATATTCAAGAGAATGCTATGAAATATGATTCGTAGAGCTGTCTGGAACGTCACACAGCATATTCATAAGGGTTTTGAGAGAAGAAAAGAGGCAAAAACAAGAAGAGAAGCACCACAAATCGTAGATTAAACTCAAGAATTGAATTGTTGATGCCGTTCTTTATTTATTTTTCTGATTTTCTTTTTTCCACCATGCTAGACTATGTTAATTATGTAATAGGATTAGATGAACTATGTAATATGATTTTTAAATATTAGTTTTACATTTTTGACATCAAAAACATGTTTTTAGGACGTTTGAATGGTTTATATGAATTTGTTTTCTCCATAATTATTTTATACGTAATTGTGTGAGTGTGGTGGCTTATTTCATGCATTCGAAAGAAGATTAATAGGTTTAACACGGTATAAATTATCATATGGTTCGATAGGGGATATAAATGTACCGCTATGTCCTATGTGAATCTTTAAGTGTTCATAAAAACTCATACATTTTTGTATGTTCGCATCCGTCATAGAGATATAATTGGGTTACATATTAGAATATGTTTGACTTTATTCGAGAGAGACGGTTAAATAATTTAGGAACATTGATTTTTCGATATTTCAATTGTGTGTCAAATTGTAAAACTAGGTTTAAAAAGATAACATAGGAATTCGTAGTACATTCATCATATATTAGAAAAAACTTCAACTTGCATTTGATATAAATTTTATTCAGTTTAGTTAAAGCAATTATAATTGCATCCGTATCATTAATTTACTTATAAATCCATCAAAACAAACACTCTCATTTTTATTTTTTTGATTAATGTCACGGTAATTAGAATTAGAACTAATCAATCCCTGTAGGACGACACTCGAACTAAAAAAGACAACTTTATTACTTGTTAACAAAATGTACACTTGCGGTATGTTTTATTCGAAATATATTTTCGCGTAACAATGGTATCGGAGTGGGTTTAACTTCATTTTAGGTTAAACTTGTAAGATTTTGTTTTTCTGCGAGCGGCCTTGTGCCACTCTTCCACGTCTAGTTAAATTCTTTTTCTTTATTTTGTCCAGCCAAATCTTTTTTTTTTCATGATTTAATCTGAATTTGGACTTCAGATTTAATTCAAATCGTGTTAGATGTTGGATGTTCTCGTTGCTCCCTTGGAGAGTTGGTTTTCGAGAAAAATCAAGAATTATCATGTTATTTTTCATAGGATTTATTCCCATCACAAATTTTGTTTTAGTCTCCTCGTGTGCCAGTTTCTTGTTTCATCAGTATTTCATTCATGTATAAGTGTAGTACTAATACTACCATGAATTTTCGGAGTGCTACTATCAAACATGGTCTATCTTTACTTATCTAGTTATTAAAACCATTTGAGATTCTTGTTTTGCCCATGTTCATTATACTCGTGGGTTTCTCCTTCCAAGTTTTAGTGATGATTTGGTTAAATTAATGGACGATGATTTTTCATTCTTCCCAACTTTGAGTTCTTCGTTTATCTTGGTTGGAATACAAGCAATTTTGAAGTATCATTCAATCTTTAGAAGAGGAAGATTTGATTGGATCAATTTAATTTCAAACTCATTCAATGTGATTCTCACTACACCATATTGAGTTTGAGGGTGGGTGTAGAAGATATGAAAAGATTGTAAAGAATAATCTTTACGATATTTTTTTCAATTGTATGAGATTATTTTTCTTAATAATTGATTATGTGATTATCACACAATCTTTCTTTTTAGAGTTATTTATATTCCTATAAATAAGGTATTCTACTTTGTAATAGAAACACAAATTTATTATATACAATTTATAATATTTTAACAGTTTTTATGTTTCTCTTTCCAATAGAAGCTGAGTTGATCATATATTCTTTAGTTATTTTCTCAAGCAGTAATAAACTTATTTTATTTTATTAGTTTAAGGTCATTTTGGTAAATTACATTGTCATAGGGTTCTATTATTTTGTTTCGTACATTAAACTCTTTAGTAGCCCCTTTTGGGTTGGTTGAAGTTGATTAAAATTTATAAAGAAATACTCGTGAGGGAATAGAGATCATGCGTTTCTTCTTATTTCAAGCTTTCGCTACATTACTTTAGTAACTGTAATTCTTCCCTTTTGAATTGAGGATATCAACATGTTTAACAAGACTTTTTTTCAGGAAATACACAAAGCTCCGAAAATGGGATTTAATTACGAAAAAGGAAAAGGAAAACAAAACTTTAATTGGAAATTAAGAAGAAGAATTTTCAGGTCATGAACTCTGAGGTTCTTCAAATCTGTAATCTATATTTCTTAATTAACTATCATGATAACAGATTCAAAAACAATAAGAGAAAGACAGGACTCACTTGTTGTGAATATAAAACATTGGCAAATAAAAGAAATATTAAACGTCGAAATGAAAAATATTTGATAAATTAAGTACCTGTGTTTCATCATCTGTCATATTTAATCTTTTCTCAGCAAAGGAATACCTTTCGTACCTTTCAATAATTCTTTCCATGCTACAAGATAAAGAGCAATTTAGAAGGTGAACCTCCAAAAAATTTAATATGCCACGAAAAATAATAATAACAATAACAACAACAAAACATTACGGTAAAGCATCAAACTTATAGTATGATAAATCCATATATGTGACCTATCTAAGTAGCTAAAAGGCTGAATGTACAAAAAATGTTCCAGGATAAAAGACATGAAAGAACAATAAATTCAAACTAGAGAGGTGCTAAGGGTGCAAAATGTATTAAATCAGTAGAATGGTTGCTTTTTAACAAGAATAAACAATGTGTTGAATTCATAAATATCATTGACATTGTATAATAGATGAAAGAACAAAATATCTATTAAGAATTTGGATTCCATCTTAAAAGGAATAGTCCAAACCTTTATAAATTAATCTATATTTTCATCTTTATTGATGTGAAATTTTATCCCTTAACATGCCCTCGCAAGATTGTGGCTCTTTTGAACAGATCGATCTTGAAATTTATGTGCTCAAATTTTTTGAGTTTTAATCGGATCGAATTGCTCGTTTGAGTTTAATAAGCTCTGATATCATGTTAAAAATTGATGTTTCATCTTAAAAGGTTAACCTTATTAAGAGGAGTAATTCAAATCTTTATAAATTGATCTATATTTTCATCTTTATTCGATGTGGGATTTTATTATTTAACAACTACCCTTCACATTTTCATAAATACAATATTTAATTCCATGATAGATAAATAATGTTCACAATCTAAAGAGAAACACATTAAGTTGATGTTTATAACTTTAGAAGAGAAAAGGTTTTATACCTTGTACATAAAAAAAAATTATTAGATGAAACATATTCATTGTTTGAGTTGTTGACGTATCCAAACAAGTTTTGATGATTCGAATCTATTAGAATCATCTCTCAAATTCAAGAGCTACACTTTCCCGCAATTCTCAATTGCTGAAAGGAAATTTAGTGTTCAAATTAAGCTTATCCGAAGTAAATAATATGCTCAGGTTTGAATCGAAGAACTGTACTAAATATACCAAATTTCTGCTGATGAAAAGGATATAGCAGCAGCGCAATCGACCAAACGGTAATATACACGTTCATGTACCTACATCTAGTTAAACTATAATGGTCTTAGTTTAAACTTTCAAAGATCGGAGAAATTTAGCCCCCTACATATCCCACAGATGAGGGCAAAATCGAATTTCTTTTGCCTCCGAAGTATGATACGTGCAGAATTTTCGTAAATTGGTAGCATCGATAGTTGGACTTAGAGGTTTTCATTGAATATACCTTGAATCAACTTAACTAAAAACTTAAGCGATTAAATAAAGACTACATTTATTTATTTAACGAAATAGTCTAAATTTAATTTTCAAGTCTTATGTGTACTTGGTTTTGTCCTGTTTTCTCCATGAGATTGACATCCTTTAATCTAAATTGCTCCTAAAGATGGACTTAACAAAACTAAAATGCATATGCATCTATATGTATGTCTAAGAACTATATCAAATGGAATGGAATGCAATTACAGTATATTCTTCAGCCACTACCAGGAGAAAAGAAGAATATAGTTCAAATGACAAAAATATGTAGAGATTGAGTTGCTGGAATTTGGTCCAATGTCTGCCAGGTTGATGAAGCGGCCCAAATTGATGATCCAATAAGTTGAAGAATCCAGAACTCATTTAATCGTATATTGGTAAACACGCTTCCCATACCAAAAGTCATCTTTCATGGATTGCTGGCACGAGGTATATTCTGCACCATTAGATGGTCGCTAGGCCTTATCTCTTATAAATATGGGCATTGTGATTTTTTAGGGTTTCATATGAACCCTTGCAGCTTTCTCGCATTTGAGTGTGTTTTTTGTCTCTCTATATAGTTCATCTTTTAGATGATTTTTGATGCGGACATCAATCATGGAGATTTAGTTTTTTATTGTTATTGGACATTATTAGTTATGTTGTTTATTATTTAGCTTGTAGTAGTGAGTTGATCCAAACTCGTCACTTGGCTAGGTTTTTGTTATTTATTGAATTTTTCATTATTGATTGAATTAGACGATGAATGAATAAAAATGAATTAAATTTTTGACTTGCAACCACGTTTCCTCTCTTCCCCTCTTCTCCCATGATTTCCCCTCCAGCTCTTTCCCCCTTTATCTCCAATTTCTTTCCCCATTCTTTCTGCCTCCTCGTTTGTTCTGCATCAATTTCGCTGTAAATTCTTAGTGAAATCGTGAGTTCTGTGAGGGAGTTAAAGTAGTATATCTCTAGTGTGAATTGTTACTCTTGAGAGATCTGTGTGCGCGAGAGTTGAAAACTTTGGTATTCTTCTTATAATCGGAACTTTGCTTATTCTTGGGTGTGTGCTAGTGGATTTGAGCTTAATCCTAATGCATGGTCAACGGGGTATTAAGCGTTAGAACTTGTCGTCGAACCTCTGGGACCAAGGTCGAAAAATTGCTTTGTTCTTTTGCTATTCGTCGATTATTTTATTTTCTTGGTCAAATATTCTTGATGAAATGGTTGGGTCACAAATCTGGGACCAACAGTGGTATCAGAGCTAAAAAAAAAAAAAAGTTTTGTTTGGTTTTTCTCAAAAACTGCTTTGAGACGCAATCTATCATTCTTGTGACTCTACTGGTTTCGAAGGTTCAAATTTGTAATGATCTGTTCATATTTTTTTAAGAAAAACTTTTAATAGGGAAATTTCTGGCATTCTTGAGTATCTCTCTGTATCTACAGTTTTTGGTAACGGACTCTAACCCTTGTTCATGGTTTTTTTTTTTTTACAAACTCTAGTCACCTTTTCTTTTAAAAGGTATTCCTAAAACCTCCCATAAATTTACCTTTGTCTAGGGGTGACCAAGAGAACCCTAGAATCTGAGGGAATTAGAGATTCGGTTTTATAATCTTTGTCTACATTTACTGTAATCCCTTGATACAAATTATTGATTCTGTGATTTGTTCACCAATATTGATCTGTGTGACATATTCTTGTTGCTGGTCTATAATTGTTTTGGACATAATCACTCCACTATTGCACAACATGACCACTAAGACTAAGATAGGTGTTCAATTGTGGGATGACAAAGAAGACTTTAGTCTCCGACGTCAGAAAATTAGAGCCCTTATGTTGCAATTGAAATGTGCTAAGGTATTGATAAGCCTTGGCCAGAAAACCTAGATGCTGATAGGAAAACTGAACAAGATGAATTGGCTTAGAATATTATGTTTCTCCATATATCAGATTTTGTAATAAAAAAGGTAGGTGAAACTAAGACTGCTGCTAACTTGTGGACTGCCTTAGAGAAATTGTATCTCACCAAGTCTCTTCCAAATAAGTGTTTCCTTTGGAGACAACTTTTTTTTTATTTAAGCTCGATCCTAGTGCTAACTTGGAAGAAAATATGAATAGATTTAATAGGATCACTCAAGGTCTTATAAACTGCGGAGAAAATATCTCTGCAGATCAAAAAGTCATGGGTCTACTTAATGCACTTGGAGAGAAATATAAGAACATAAGGAATGCTCTAGAATATGATAAGAGATGATTTGACTATTGAAATTATTCATAGCTCCCTTAAGAATAGAGAGTTGGAGTTAAAAATAGAATATAAAGAGGTTCTACATGTTGAGAACTCTCTATTGAACTCAAAATTCCCAACTTAAGGGGTAAGTAATTTCAGCCAAGCAAATTACAATAAGAATAAGAACCTCAGTAAGAAGAAATACGAAAGTGATAAAGGGAAAGACAAGAAAGTTTATAAGGAAAAGTCAAAGAACAAGAAATGCTATTATTGTGGAAGAATGAGACATTTGATGGAAAATTGTTTTAAGAAGATAAATGATCAAAAGAATGAGTTCTATGATGGAAATGACACCTTTGCCATTGCTGCCTCTTACAAAGAAGAAGAAGCAAATATTGGGATGGCATATGTTTCACTAAGTGAAAGAACTTATCAGGAGTGGGTCGTTGACTCAGGGTGTTCTTTTCACATGCACCCCAATATCGATTGGTTTTCTGATTTCTCTGGTCTTACTGGAGGCCTTGTAAAATTAGGTAACAATGAGTAATGTTAAGTAAAAGGAATTGATAATATTGTTTTGGAACTTAAAAATGGTCAAATATTAATGCTATAATTAGGTAACAATGAGTCCTGTCTAGTAATGTTTGGTGAGAAAGGGTTAAAACTTCTTTCAAAAGGAGTTTTTGGAAAAGACAATGTTACCATTTAAGACATAGTAGATTGTCATTTAAGACATTGTATACTATGTATCTGCAAATTTTGAAACTAATCACTAGAGGTATTAGAATATATTAACTATCTGTGAACATTGTATACTGGGAAAACATAGTAGATTGTCATTTAAGACAGGCCATTACAAATCACTAGAGGTATTAGAATATATACAGTGAATTGTGTAGACCTGCTCCTGTTCCCACAGCTTCTGGTTATAAATACTATCTCCTCACCATAGATGATTCCTCTGGAAAGGTGTGGATCTTGTTGCTAAGATCCAAATCTGACACCTTTACAACCTTTAGGGATTGGAAAGTCCTAATTGAAAATCAAATTTGTAAGAAGATAAAAGTGTTAAGAACCAACAATGGACTGGAATTCTGAAATTTTGAATTTGATCAATATTGCATTAAATCTGGTATATTGAGGTACATGAATGTGACTTATACACCTCAACAAAATGGAGTTGCCGAGAAAATAGACAGAACTATCTTGAAAAAACTAGATGTATGCTTATGAGGCCTGGGTTAACAAATTATTTTGCGGTGAGTTTGTAAAAAATGCATGTTATTTGATAAATAGAAGTCATTCCAGCTCCTTAGACTATAAAATACCTGAACAAGTTTGGTTAGGATCAATTCCTGATCACTCCTATCTTAGAACTTTTAGATGTGTAGCTTTTGCACACCGAAATGTTTCTAAATCGGATCCCAGATCCCAAAAATGTGTCTTTCTTGGTTATGGGGAAGAAGTAAAATGCTATAAGCTATGGATAAAAGAATGAAGAGGATTCTAAGTGATGATAAGTAGGTCTTTCATCTTTGATGGAGAAAATATCCCGTATCTTAGTGACAAAAATATAGAGTTGGCAGAGAAGGATTTTGTCATTACTGAAGGTGATCATAATGAGTAAAATGATAATGATCAGAGTCAGATTGAGGTGGAACAACCTTAAATAGAGCCTCAGATCATAACTGATAATGAAAGCATAAATAATGATCATGTTATGGGGTACTGCAGATAATCTGCACGACTATGAGTTGGCTAGATATAGAGAAAAAAAGGGAAATAAGACCTCATTCCAGATTTCAATATGCAAACTATGTATCTGCAAATTTTGAAACTAATCGATTAGATATAGAACCCAGCTCATGTGAAGAAGACATATCTAGTAAGATGTCTACTAAATGGCTTGTTGCTATGCAAGGTGAGGTGAACTCTCTGTATAAAATTCAGAACTGGACCTTAGTGGATATAAACCTGCTGGAGTTAACAATAAAAGATATAAGGCTAGACTTGTAGCATAGCTAAATAATTTCTACAAAGAGAAGGAATAGATTACACTGAATTTTTTTCACGTGTTGTGAAATATACATCAATTAGAATCTTATTTGCTTTTGTAACACAATTTGATGTGAAAGCTACCTTTCTTTATGATTCTTTGGATGAAACTATATGCATGCATCAACCTAAGGGTTTTGAAAATAAAAGAGAGAAGAACTTAGTGTCTCTTAAGAAAATCCTTGTATGATTTAAAATGGGCACCAAGGCAATAGTATAAAAGATTCGATTCTTTTATACAAAGTCTCAATTTCCAAAAATCTAACTATGATCCATGTTTCTATTATAAAAGAGATGGAAATTCTGATTTTTTCTATTTACTTTTATATATTAATGGCACGCTTCTAGCTTGACATAATTTTGTGATATTAAATTCTATAAAAGAAAAGTTAAAGTCGGAATTTGAAATGAAAGATTTAGGCTCTGTTATCAAAATTCTGGGGATGGGAATAAGAAAGGATAGAATAAATGGAAAACTGTTTTTAACCTTAGAGTCTTATATTGGAAAGGTCATTAGAAAATTTTCATTACATGATTCTAGATCTGTGGGCTTACCTTTGTTTGCATATGTGAAACTATCTGATGAACAATCACCAAAAACTGAAGAAGAATTTATAAGGATGATAAATGTGCCTTGTGATAATGCTATTGGATCTGTGATATATGTCATGGTATGTTCTAAACTTGATACCGCTTGTGTTGTTAGTGTGTTGAGCAGATTTATGAGTAATCTAGGTGGGAAGTTATAAAATATCTTATTAAGGGCATGTTTGGTATGGCTCAAAATCCAATTAAAATTGAAAATATAACCGTTATTGGGTTTCACTCATCTAATAAAAGTCAACAATAACGGCTAGTTTTTCAATTTTAATCCAATTTTAATCTCTACCAAATACCCTCTAAATATCTAAAAGGTTCGCAGTATTTAAGTCTTATGTTTAAATCAGATAAAAATGGATTTAATTTGAGAGGGTATATTGACTCTGACTTTGTTGGAAACATATATGATAGAAAATCTACAACTCCATATGTGTGTGCGCGCGATAAATGGAACATGCATTGGTTAGTATTTACAACTTCAAAGATTAGTTCGGGAAGCTATGAAATATCTTATTAAATATCTAAAAGGTACACAGTATTTAAGTCTTATGTTTAAATCAGATAAAAATGGATTTAATTTGAGAAGGTATATTGACTCTGACTTTACTAGAAACTCATATGATAGAAAATCTACAACTCCATATTTGTGTGCGCGCGAGCCATAAATGGAACATGCATAGGTTAGTATTTACAACTTCGAAGATTAGGTCATTATCTTTCACTAAGGCTGAGTATATTGCTACTACTAAGGCAATTAAAAAAGGGCTTCGGTTGAAAGGATTATGATTTATAGAAAATAAGGGTAGTTTTGCTCAGATAATCAAAATGCTATTTTCTTAATCAAAAATCCAATTTTTGATGATAGAACTAAGCACATAGATGTTAAGTTTAACTTTATTAGAGATATAATTGAAAAATGTAATATAAAATTGGTTAAAATTCCTACTAAGATAAATTTGGCTAATGCAGGTACAAAGGTAATTCCAGTGAATAAGTTTAAAGATTCTTCGAAGCTAATGAACCTTGAACTTAACTAACTTTCATTTGTTTTTGTGAAAAAGTAATATGAGCATATGAAGTTATGCTGATTAAGGGAATGTTTGACACCCATTTTAATGGGTTGAAAAAATTTGGAATAGTGATTGATGGGAGAATGAGTGGTGAAAAAGTGATAAAAAGTTTTAAATTTGTGTGTAATATTATTTTATTTGAAGATTGCGTGGTTGAAATGAAAAAAGAGAATGAGAATGAGAAAGACAGAGAGAATGTGTGCTAAACATGGGCTAAGTTTTGAATCCACTATAGTACAGTTACAAATTGCGGCAAAGGTGGATATTGGAGATTGAGTTGCTAGAATTTGTGTGCCCATGTATTTTGGTTCAATGTTTGTCGGGTTTGAATTGATGAAGCGACCCAAATTGATGATCCAATAAGCTGAAGAATCCAGAATTCATTTAAGTGTATTTTTTGTATACACACTTCTTATACGAAAAGTCATTTTTCATGGATTGCTGGAATGTGGTAGATTCTGCACCGTTAGATGGTGATTAGGGCTTATCTCTTATAAATATGGCTACTTTGTTTTTTTAGGGTTTCAATATGAACCCTAGCAGCTTTCTCTCGTACGACTTTGTGTTTTTCTCTCTCTGTATAGTTCATCTTCTAAATGATCTCTTTATAAATTCTTAGTGAAATCATGTACTCTGCGAGGGAGTTAAATCAATATATCTCTTGTGTGAGTTGTTAATGTTATTGTTAATGTTATTGTTCAGAGATCTGTGTGTGAGAGAGTTGAGAACATTGGTGTTCTTGTAATCGAAACTTTGCCTATCTTGGGGTTGTGCTAGTAAATTCGAGCTTAATCCAAACAAATGCTCAACGGGGGATTAAACATTAGAAGTGGTCGCTGCCCAAAAATCTCTTGCGTTCGTTTTTATTCGTCGATTATTTTGTTTTCTTGTCAAATATTCTTGATTTGAAACGGTTGGGTCACAAATACCGACAAAATACTAAGATTAAACCACTGTTGAAAACACAGGGCTCTAGGGCCCTTTAATTTCAGACATGGGAGAATAGATGTTTGGTTCCGACAGTGTTCAATCTGGTCACCCAAGTTCCATACCAAAATTGTCATTTAAAATATTTACATAATCTGCTACTTTCAGCAGAATAACTGATTTAAGATTATGTTCAATCAGGAAAAATGATTAAACTTCTAGTATATGTATTCGACCAATTAAAGGGATCTCTTGTCTCATAAATTGTTCTTACAAACAAAAATTAATTCACCAACTTGATACTATTAGACAAGAATTTAGATAAGTCAGCATGCACAAATTTAGCATAAAATCAGGCTTCTGTATATCAGAAAATGATACCCACACAAAGACCCGAATTCATGTGCCTGCGCAGCCCCCACCCCAAAGAAAATGGAAAAACTGTACGTAATGCTGAAAATGAAGGGATTTTAAATGGAATTACATACAAAAACGACCTGCGAACGAAGACAATCAAAAACTTATAAAATTTGCTTAAGATTTTTGTTTTTCTTGAACGTAGATTCTTGAACTGGGTTTTTGATGAAATAATTAAAAGTACATACCTTGAATCAGTGGAATACTCACAGAGCTTCCCGTTGGTAGAAAAAACTATCAAAGCAACATCAGCATCACACATAACTGAGATCTCATGTGCCTTTTTGAGTAGACCGGACCTCCTTTTGGAGAAGGTGACTTGCCTGCTAATCTTGTTTTCGATCATCTTCAACTGAACCCTACCTCTCCCCATTTCTTGATTCTTGATTATTAGTTGGAATAACAATATTATATACACACACAGAGAGAGGTACCAATAACTCAGAAAACCCTAAATTCTTTAGTGGTACAGATTTATGCTTCACACACCATACACAAAAACAAAAAGTAAGAGGGTTATGCTGTGATGGGCTTTATCATGATACTTTTTGGTGCTTTCTATTTCGGTTTAAAGCCAAGTTTTATTCCATAAAGCATAGGTTCTCTCCCTCTGTGTATTTCAGTAGGGGGTAGGGAAAACCAGAAGTGCGAAGAAGAAGCAAGGATGGTTTTAGGAAGATGAGTTGTCGAGTTAGTATTGGGGATAAGAGTTGTTTAGTCGTTAGTGTCTCGTTTAGGGCCACAGGTTTAGAACAGATTGTACAACCTAATACAAAAGATAGACATACTCTTATTTATTCTAGTGGTGACGGCGGCTACTATATCTTAATACCATTAAATTTCGTGTAATGTATAAATCTTTATTATTCAGGGATCTTTCTGAGCAAATGAACATGTATATACATGTATAAGTTATCTCTATAGATTTGGTTCAAAGTAAACATGCATGTCAACAAGAATATAATTAAACACCAATTCGGTGAACCAAGGTGGTGGGAATATTGAAGTACTTTAGCCACATGTGGAAGGTAAGTTATTTTTGGAATTGATGGAGTAGGTTGATTCTGAGCTTAATAAAGAGACAATGCACAAAAGTCCGGTTCGACAATTAATAGAAAATTATTTGAACAATATTGTCTTATATCTTTCGTGCGCAAGAAACACTCCATTGATGTTCTCGGATACATTCCTTCGAGAGGGTATCATTCGCACGACTAAAAGAAAGCTTTAGTTAATTGATGGCATGCTAGTTTACTTAGTAGGAATGGTGCTTTCTTAGGCAATCCCGCTTCAACAAGTTTGGTGCATAGATTCTCTCATTTTGTATTACCATGATCATCATCGGTCTCAGTACACCAAACTTGCACCTGTTGAATGTTGCTCACCGTTGCTATAACTTAACAACCAAAAAGCTCTAGGTCGAGGAATTTGAGTTATTCGAGTGAGGATGTGAATAAGTAGAAAAGGAATGTCTAGAACTTGGAGTATAATACTAAATTTATTCAACCCCTATTAAGTAGCAAGTCTGAAAGTTGACAGCTGGGGAGATGATTTACTCGGTTGTGATATCGAGGATTTCGACTACGCCTCATGAAATGTTAACAGCAATTTTCATAGGGAAATCTCTTGCTACCGTGAATTTAAAAAGTTTTTATTAGGAACAAAAGATAAGTAATAAGATGTTGGAATAATCTTAATCGACTTGATTAAAAAAAAAAGAAAATTGACTCATTTTAAAATTCAAATAATGAATTCCATTACCTATTGAGTTGATCAATGTAATATGAAATTTGCTCCGCTCTTAGAATATATAGGATAGAAAATTCTTATATTTACCTTACTAAATTCAATTAATTTTTTTTTTTTTTAAAAGATTCTCAATTTTATTTTTAATATCTAATATTCCAATGCATACTACAGTCTTCCGACTATATGGCAATTGGCAAGTTTAATATCTTTTTCTTTATTGGCAAGGTATATATGGATAGATAGAGCCTCCCCCTATGTTTGTATAGTTCTTTTTTTGTTATTGACAAATCAAGTGACGTTAACTAAAGAGATTATATAAAATATTTTTGTGTGGGATGTCAGCATTAAAAAGTGTCACCTCATATTTAGAGCTTGTTTTGGAGAGAATTTTCAAATGAAATGAATTTTTTTGTAGAATTTGTAGTTAAAAGGTAAAAAATATATATATTTTTATATTATGGACCCCATAAATATGTGGTTGAAAATAATTGTGAGGAAAAATTAATTTTCAAAAACCTCTCCCAAACAAGTGTATTGATTGGTATGGAAAATATCTCCTAGGAAATATTTTTCTTAAAAACAAGAAAAATTAGACATATTTTCAAAAGTTGAAAAATATTTTTAATGGAAAAAAATAGTAATCAAACATTCCAAAGAAAAAATTTGGGTGAAAAATTGACATTTTTAATAAAAAATAAACACTTAGTGTGTTGCATTAAATCTTACTAAAGAGTAAAATAGATAATATATAGTTCATTACTTTTTAATTAATCTTACCATATATTACATTGGACCCACTTCGATATTGAATATGGTTAGGAAGTGTTTTGTTTAAAAAGACAGAGAAACGAGTGATGAAAAAATGGATAGTACTTATGATACCTATTAAATGTATGTAAAAATTGATTTTATCAAAAGAATTTATAAACACTTCCTAATTATACTCTAAATTTTTCTATTTAATTCTTCGTTTCTTCATCGTATTTAACTTTATACAGTCTTATGTCTTCTGTACTAAATATAGCTTCAATGTTTGTCATGTCATGACAAGGTATAATGAGAATAAACTTTTTGTAAGGCCAGAACACACAATATTAAATCAAAGAACAGAAAATATAAAGTGCAAAAATTAAAGAATCAACACAAAATCAACACAAGAATTGTTTTGGCCTAAGCCTCGGAGGTTCAACGATCACATCAAACGCCTACATCCCCCGTTGAGCATCCAACAAGTTGAATAATGCTCAGTTGCACTATGCCGCCCCAAATCGGCAATGAAGGTTACAAATCATTCAATCAATACAAAGAGATACAGTCAGAACACTTATCTCTTAAATAGATTTTTGAGCAAAGAGATCACGAAGAAGAAAACCTTAAGTATTTCTCTCAAAGCCAAAAGACGAAGTGTGTTTCTCGAATGATTCAAATGAATCGTCCAAAGTAAGATAAAGAGTCTTCCAGATTATTCAGCCAATGGTCCCGATAAGTCCACGTGTCATCAGCTCAGTAAATGGAAATGAGATAAAACGCTTTCAACCAAAACACGCCTTTGTTAAAATTCTGGTAGCACAAACATTTCAGCCCAGCATTCGAATCCCACACTTTCCTATGTCACCAAGTTTGCTTCTTACATGATCATCTAATTAAGAAGAAAATAAGAGGAACTGAAATCATAAATGTTGAAATTCTAACATGAAAATTTGAAATTTGAAATAATCACAAATGTAAAAAACTTTGTGGCTCGAGAAAATCCCATGATAATTTTGAGAGCAAGATATGGGTGGTCCATTCTTTTGTATGGAAGAACAAAATATTTCGTTTTGGGTAAATGAGATTTTCGTTTACTCTCTGGTCCCGGAAAGATATTTCATCACCTCTCTGGTCCCATTTAGCAAGTGCTTTGCCATATAGAAATATTTCTTGTATAGAATATGCATTTAGTACAAATTTATTCACAAAATTATATGTTCATAGTACATAATGAATAGTCTGAAAATTCTTAACTATTCCGATTTAAAAGGCTTTTAAGTTGGGGACCAGAAGAAAACTTAATGCATGAAATAAATTAAAGGGGAAAAAAAAGTATGAACAAGTTTTTCGATAGAGACGTATATATGAGTCACTCTTAAGCATTAATCTAACCTTGAAAATCTCACTTTTATTTAAAGTTAGTACGCATGCCTAATCTTTTACCTTGTAGCTACCGTACATTTACTGATTCTATCATCGATAATTTTAATAAAAAAAAAATATATATTTCAATTTATTCTTTTTAAATCGAATATGAGTGGAACCTTAAACATGATGTAAGGCATTTATATTGCGTAACCACAAACATAGATCCATTTCAAAGCAAAGCTTCACCGGTACATGAGTTAAAAGGACTAAAATACCCCTAAAAGGAATTTATGCCAAATTTTTATGGAAATCGTACATCGTACCTTAAATCCTAAATTACTATTATTAAAAAGGGAAATTCACGTGGGAAGTGGGGGTTTCAGTAATACGATGGCAAACTTCACGTTATAATTATAATTCATTTTTACATCTTCTTATTAATTTACGTGATCTTCAATGAAATAATTTTAAACGTAAATTCAAAATTTTTCATTTTTCAAAATACACATTCTTTAAAAAATGAAAAATTGCAGCAATGGTATCAAACCTTTCACTTTATTGCAAATTTGAACCAAACTTTTTATTTGTGCCACCCACGATATCAAACATTTCTAAAATTCGCACTTTAAGCACAAATGGATGAGAACAATCAATTTGACTGTTAGTTGACCATAATAGTAAAATTTGACCAATTAAGAAAATGTCAAAATACAACTTTATTGTAAAATACAATTACAACGATGATAATAAATTAAAAAACAAAAAACCAACCCCACCGCCACGGCCCCATGCGCCACCCCAACCCAAAACAAAACCCAATACCAAAACAAATAAAGCCACCCGCCACCGCTACATATGAATAGAGGTCGTCACCGTTCAAGAAAGCATGTGGGAGACCAATTTGGTCATTCCGTTACTAGAACCAACATGACTACCATCAGGCCGATGCCCATAGCTTCCTCCACCTCAGCATTTATGGTGCTTGGAGCTGATGCATCTAACAATTTTTCGCTTTCACATCATCATCGACCCAACAACTTGCAATCTGGTTCTAAAAACCCTTTGTCTGTGATCCAAAATATTAACGGATAGATTAACAGACATCCTATAGACTAGGTCCCAACCATTCTTAATTCCCGAAGTTCATCAAGTTTTCACAACCCATTTGGTTATGATAAAAACATGTAAAAACCCACAAATTATTTTCCTGAAATTAGCAATAAATTCTCCGATTTTAGGTCTATATTCTCTACATTCTCCGGTTGAATCGCCAAAATATCATGCTGATTTTGGAATTAAGACTCGAAATCTCCGATTTCAAATCCAAATTCAGAAAGAAACTGAGGTTTTCCAGTCAGCTCTTCACATAATTGGGCACTCTAAGAGATCTCCACT